CTCTTCTTTTTCTGTTGCACTGTATAAGCACGGGTTATTATCGGCTGTACCAGAGCTCAGAAGTTTGTAGTGGGTCTCACTGGACTAAGCCAAAACATTAAGGCCGCACCCTTAGAAATTCTGCAAGGTGTCCTGTCCCTGCCTTGCCCTCGTCTAGAAGGCTTCAGTGTTATGTGGCTCCTGATCTTTCTGTATCTTTCAGGCTAGCAAAGGCGAGTTAGTGGCTTGTCCCCTCACATTGTCTCACTCAAACATTGCTTAATCTAATGTCCATGCTGTTTGTAATTACACTGAGCCCACCAGGATAACTGTATATGATTTGTCTGTCTTTTCTACTGGCAGCCTATTAAGTCAGTCCATCTGTGCCCTTAACTCCTTGCCGTGTTCCCAGGCTCATACACTAGCATATGGACATCTGTTTTTGTTTCATGCTCATTGGTGTTTTGTCAGTATATATGTCTGTGTGAGGGTGTCAGATGCCCTGGAACTGGAGTCACAGACAACTGTAAATCACCATGTGGGTGCTGGGAATCAAACCAGGGTCCTCTGGAAGAGCAATGAGCCATCTCTTCAGCCCCCAGATACAGACGCTTTTTTTTATATTGATTTTGTTCATTATGTGTGTGTATGTATATGCGCACAGGCATGGTGCACATGTGGAGGTCAGAGGAGAACTTGTAGGAGTCAATTCACTCCTTCCACCGTGTGGGTCTCAGGGATGGAAATCAGGTAGCCAGGCTTGGCAGTAAACACCACTGCCCACGGAGCCATGCAGTCACACCCTAATATGGACATTTTTGAGTCACTCATCCTGTCTACCTCAGCCCCATATGTTCAGACTCCCCTTAATGGTAACAGGATCCCAGCTGCCACATAATCTACGCCCCCCCCCTTTGTTAATCTGTTTTTTATTAAAATTCCTGTGAGTTTTAAATTTCTTAATGGGAAAAATGCAAATCTGCAAAAAAGGAAAAAATGAGGACTTTAAGCAACTCAAAGATTAGCAGGCAAGGTCAGATAGTCCAATGCTATTTCTTTAATCCAGGTTGCTAGGAAAGCCGAAGCAGGAGGGTCACAAGTTCAAGTCCTGCCTGAACAACTTAAAAATGACTATATCATTTATATATAAATGATATATAAAACCTCTATATCAAGAAGTTTTTTTTTTAAAGGCTAGGGTGGATACTGAGACTAGCTAGACAAAATTATCCATTATATCAACATCCAAAGCATTCTTTTATTTCCTATACATATCTAAGCATGCTTGTGTTTCTGGAGTCTTAAGTCCTGCTAATTAATCATAGAAATGAATAAAAAGACTCTAAATCAGTGGTTCTCAACCCATGGGTCACAACCCCTTTGCCAAAACTCTATCTCCAAAGATATTTGCACTATGATTTGTAACAGTAGCAAAATAATTTTATGGTTGGGAGTCAGCACAACATGAGGAACTGTATTAAAGGGTCATAGTATTAGGAAGGTTGAGAACCACTGCTCTAAGTCACGGTATATAAAAGGAATACAGGACCAGCAAGATGGTTCGGCTTGTAAAGTAGTTTGCTGCCAAATCTGACAATCCAAATTTGATCCCCTGGACCCACATGGTGGAAGGAAGGAACCAATTCCCAAAAATTCTCTGAGCACCACACACCCTTATACACGTTCACATGCACATAAAATTAATTGCTTTTAAAAAATTTTTAAGTAACTGGGCAGTGGTGGCACATGTCTGTTATCTCAGCACTCAGGAGGAAGAGTCAGGGGGATCTCTGTGAGTTCAAGGCCAGCCTCGTCTACAGAGCAAGTTCCAGGACAGGGGGAAAAAAACTTTCAAGTAAATAAATACGATTTTTTAAAAGGAATCCATGGCAATTATAGGTCACATTAAAGTGA